TTTGTTCCTCCTCGTCGGTCTGTCTCACCCCGCAGTGGCGTAAGACTCGCCAGAAACTCGCGCGCCTTTGATATCTGGTGTATCGTTGCTCGATGTAGCTAGTATCGCGCAAGAAAGCAGAAAAATAAAAAATCGCGTCGGGATGTTTTCTGCATTTCGTTCGTCGATCGGTTTAAAAATCTCGCTTCTCGTTTATCCTTTTTAACCTGTCGCGGTTGCCCCACGCGTTGGAATGCAGTAAAACTCGACTCTTGCTCGATCGAACATAAATTTACGATGCGTTTAGGTTAGGCACAGCCTCGCCTCTTGCATCACGCATTTGTCTATGTACATTCTTTTCTATGGTGTAACGAAGACGCTTTTATAGTTACGCTACTGCGAATAAGATGTAGAGTTTGTGCGGTTTATTGTGTGCGTTACTGCGCGTGCAAAATCTCAAAGAAAAGAAATAAAAATACGGTCGTGATCGTCGAGCCCAATGTTTATTATCGAGAAATCGAGGTTATATCGTGGTCGATGGGAGGATGTTGGCGATGGCACGAAAAATTGCGACGAGTCTGGCGGCAACATTGTTTCCGGAAAAAATAAACGTATGCACGCCCATTGTGCGAATACGACCGACAGAACACCACCAGAAGGGTTTTTGTTCCGACGTATGGCGGAACATATGCGCAGACCAGCGACGCGACGGTCCTCTCTCGCCTTTGTCGTTGCAACGAAAAGGAACACGTGACTTCGGTAAAAATGCCAGACCCTTTTTACTCTCGACGAAAACATCCTAAAGAAAGCACGACCGTCGTAACTGTCGCTTTTCGTTGCCGGCGAGAAAATATTCCATTCCTTTCATCCTCCACGATAACAAGAAAATTCGCGCTACCGTCCAGAGAGGTTAAAAAGCCTCGATCGGTGACAACTTGTTTCGGAATGTTATTTTAAAGTCGTATTACTCGTTTGATATTCTTCTGTCGTTATTGGAACTGTCGAAATATGTTAATGTACTACGGTGGACTGCAAATAACGATACACATACATGTTTAATATTAAATATACACTCTTTCTTTACTGGAACAATACTTCTATATTCTTCAGACATTCTTCTTTGGTAACATTTTCACAAAATGGAGATTATATACTTTGACAAATAATGTTTTTATTAGGTATATTATAATAATAATTCTGTGAGAAAATAAAGTGGAAATTAACATCTTCATGTATAAATAATTATGCACGTTTTTATAATTTTATGTTCGCTCTGTTAACGAGAGAAAATTGTTTCAAGAAATTAATTAACTTGTATAAAAGTATTTTAAATCACGAATATTATTCACATGTTTGTTTCATTAGTATTATAACGCGTAAAGTTGATAATTTTAATCTGAAAATAATTTACGAAGTTCGAGACTGTTTGGCTCTTTGTTCGATATTCGGTAAAAATTGTAAGCCAACTGGTAATTATTAATAACGCAAGGGAGGCGCCGCGATTGTCCGCGAGTGGAAATTTTGCAGAATGATCACCGAATGAATTATTTCGTCGCGAGCCGCGCGTAATTACCACGTACGGGTTAGTGATAAATAATTTGCAAATATGCCACGTGCAGCGACAACATTGTGCACAGGGGCGGATCGCGGCGCCGATAGTCGCCACGAGATTTATCGATGCGTTCGATTGCCGTTGCCAAAGTCGACCTCGAGCCCGCGTCTTTGTCTCGGTTCATCTTTTTCACGAACAAAATAACCTGAACGTCGACGAGCATCGCTCTATTAACTCCCCTGTCTCGTTCTATCGTTGACGTGGAATCATACGTTCCGATCGGATCGATGGTGTTTCCTCGCGACGAGATTTATCGATTCAATTTGTCGACAGAATTTCTCGTCGAAACTTTCGACGAGCGGATCCGTTTAAGGCTATAGCAATTAAAGATCAAACATCGAGATTGAAAAGCTGCTGGCCTCGGATCTTTTTTCGTTCGTGTTACATCTGCAAACAGATTTGTTAAATAGAATTGTTGTTCGAACGTTCGACGTGTTTGAACGAACTTGGTAAATATCGTATAAACGAAAAAATTGAAAATTGAAATTGATGAGATTTCTGTGGTCGTCGACTCCTTAGGTTAGGTTAGGTTATACCACAATTCTACAGATATATCGTGTTTCTTCGATTCATCCACAATTTTAACTAAATATTTTGCTTCAACTGGAGGCAGGATAATTCTATTATTATCAAACGATAATTTTGAAATATCCAATCGTCGAGTTGAATTTTAAAACCACTTGCATTCCCGCCATTTCTCGTAACTAATTTTCGTATCTTCGCGAGGATCCTTCTCGAAAGGACGAAGGAAGGGAATCGGTAAGGAATAAATTAAAGAAAGAGAAGGGTCACACTTAAGAGACAAAGCATAAAAAAAGGTCGATCCTTGGGGAGGAAAGCTATCGATAAGTTAGGTTGACAAAAACCTCGGGCGCTTCGGTCCTTTTTATCGACAAACGAATTTAGTCGAGTGCATAAAACACCGCTTTAAATCTTTGGAACTTAATAATCAGTTTGTGCGCTCGTAATTCTTAACCGGGAATCCCCGAGTGGAAGCAGGGGATGCTAAAGGTGTAACGGGGAAGGTGAAATGCCGTATGATGGCGTGTCGTTGCGTTGCTCGAGCCAGGAAGACCAGGAGAACATGATTTCGGAACGAGTCTCCTGTTCCTCTGCTTCTGCCAATTTCTTCCGTTTAAACAGGAGAAGTTCGCCTCCATTTAGAAAAATATTACATTACAGATTTCTTCGAAGCATGTAATTTATTCTAAGTCTCTCAGCTATAATTAATTATTTAAAGCGTTAAGAAATGTAGTCTAGCTTAAAATATTATATCGGTGAATTTTGCTGTCGTTTTTACGATACTGTTCCTATTAAACAGTGAAAAAGAGTTTTCCTAAAAACTTAATTCTCCACAAACTATATCTTAATTGTATATAATTGAAAACATGTATTGCAACGAATAAGTTCACTGCAGTTTTTTAATTTTTACCGAACTTTCCAATTCCTCTCTCGACTGTAGCCCGATTTTCATCCGAAATTCGAAGCGACCGAATTAAAATGGCGCGCGAGTCCCGGGTATCTCGTCTGAAAGGGGCAGAGCCGCTGGATGCGGTTGGCCGTTATTAGAAGTTATTACGCCGACGGTATTACGTACCGACGGCAATCGTAAACGAGGGATTTTAATTGCCCCTTCGATAAAAACATCCTCCGATGAAGACGTTCTGGCTTGTCGAGCTGCTCCTCGCGTCGGGCCAGCGACGCCATGGGACTCGAATTGCCATGAACAGGCAGAATCCACCGTCCCATAAATCATACCGATAACGATCCAATTCTGCCACGGAATCGTAATATTTCATTATTTATTTTATGCGGTCTTTCATATATTACGCGTTCGAGTACGGCCAGGGGACGCTTTAACGCCGCGGCGGCCACTGAAATTCTTGATGTTTCAATTGAATTTCAAACGGAGCGTAAAGCGCCGCCCTCCATCCGGGAGCACGGCTGGCTGTATGTCTGGGGGCCGTTTATTACGGCGCCGGGGAGATTATGAATTCAAGTACGCGGCCGCGGTGGAAATTGAGTCGTTGTAAAACGAGAAATCGTAACAGTTCAACGGGGATGGCGAACAAAAACTTTGGTATCGCTTACGATCTTAATCTCCGCCGCTCGATGTCTGTATCGAAACATCACGCAAAACGAAAAAGACGTAAACCAACACACGATACTAAAAACCATTTTGTATCGTAAATCTGAAAAACATCCGAGCGTCGAGAGGTATCGGCAATTTCAACTTTCCTCAAACTCCCAACTATAATAGAGGGGAGATTGAGGCTTTGTTGGTTAGGCACACCGATTTGGCCGTAACGTAATAGCGAAAGCCTGCTCTCTCATATGCATTGCCATTGTAGGCGATCTCGTAGAATTTGTAGAAGGGTAGAAAAGGAAAGAAGAGGGCAGCGTTTCGTTCGGGGTCTGCTAGTGGACTCATCGAGTAAGGCTTTCTAGCAGGCCCTGCCTTGAACGACTGGATATTGAGAAGTCGGTCGAGCGCTTGTGAGAGCGTGATCCCTCTGGTGGTGAGCATGGGAGATGACGCCACAGTCATTATTGGTTAAATCGCTCGCAACTACCATTCCATCGCGTGACAAAGGACACGAACGAAACGTATAGCGACAGAGTAGAATAGGACAAGATCGAGATACAGACAAATACTAATCCTGAATAGAAGAAATCTTTAATTCCGTCGCCTTCTGTGGTTTCATCGAAACACGCAAGCACAGAAGCATCGACGAGTTCCACCATTCGTAACCACCATGTGAATCCCCGGACAGCCAATCGGTTTGCCTGGACGCATTGTTTCCCACGTGAGGTACGTAACCATCGGTATCACGGGGGCCGCCCGGCGTTCTGCATCGGTAATTTGCATGACCGATGATCGGGCAGTGGTGCAGCACAGTGACTAGGTGCATCGTCATTACGCACTGGCCAGATACGATCAAACTGTCGGTAATGATAGTCGCGCGATCTGGCGCGCGTACGCGGAGCCTGGGTCGCGTTTATTAAATTACGTCAAATTATTGGTACGCTGCGAGGGCTGATTATCAAGGATGCCCTAGGATCATGCACGCATGGTAGTTCGAACACGAAGGTCTCGGTCGTCTTCTACTTTTCCCGATTGCTACGGGTCCCTCGTAGCGTTGGTAAAGACGGGAGCTCGAAGGGTACGTTCTGGGTGGGCGGAGCCCCCTCGTCCCCTACGCTATTGGTTAAAATACTTGACGCCACGACGTATGCGAATGCACGTGATCCATTAACCGAATCACCCATTGGTCAATATACTTTTCCAAACTACTCGGTGTTATAATTTAGTGTAAATTGGTGTCTGTATAAATAAATAAATAGAATAGAAATGTAGATCAAGATGTAACAAGGATGTTAAATTAAGAAACTAATTGTCTGTTTTCAGATTCGAACCGACGAAGGGCTGAAGAAGGCAAAGAGCGGCCCGGATGGGGCGCCATGGATCTCCGATGTCTTCGACTAATCAAAACTCGTAGCCAGAGCTCAAGCAACAACGCGGAGACGGACCACGGTCCGTCGACGATCCCACCATTTGTCCCTTTAATTAATTCACCGCGACAGCCATTCGAATCGTAGCTTTCGAACAACGGGGCGAACCATTTCGACGTGGTCGCACTTTTCTGCGAGAAATTAAAGCATGCGCACGCGTGAACGAGCTAGAGAACAGAGAGAGAGAGATGCTGCGTGCTTTTCAGCGATTGTCTGAGCGAATTATCTGAATGAACAGAGAAAGAAGGTTTGCGAAACGCTCGTCGCGCGGGGGTAACGAAGACCTACGGTAGTTCCCTCTTTCAAGAAACGAAAGCGGGGTAGCAATTTTTGTCCGAGGAGATTCCGTTGCTCGAATCCGGGGTTAAAAGTGTTGCATGAAAGCGGCAATTACTGTATCTAGACGGAAGAAGAAGGTTACGATCAGAAGCAAGAGGCCTCTGTGGATGCTAAGTCCTGGTTCTGTTCTCGAAGATGGAATGAACTGTCGATGATGCAACAAGAGGAAACGGAAAAAAAGCAATTGTTCCTTCAGATCCTCCTACAGAAGGCTTTAGAGAACGGTTGCCTTCGCGTGAAAGGTGTAAGAAATTATTCAAAATAAACTTTGCAACTACAGAGCGCCTCTTGCGATCGGTGTTCAACCCCAGGTTCGATTCCTTGGCGGGGGTTGGGAGCAAGCTCGACGAATTTAGCGATCGAAACGATTGTAACAGCGGGCAGGATGACGCTGACGTGAAAAGCGAAGAGGGTCCATCTCGATCCGGCGAGATTGCACGCGAGCGTAGAGAGGACTTTACGGATCACGAGACTGCTTCTCAGGAAGGGGAAAAATCGACGGGAGAATTTGAACGAACGTGGACGTGTAGCCGTCGACTTCGGGGGGGCGTAGATCTCGTGACGTAGTGATCACAGAATCGCCAAGGCACGCTAACTTAGCAGAGCGATATTCCACGCTGAAACGCGCCGTTAGTTTAATCTACTAGGGAGCGTAAGTTAAGGATACGAATGCCATAATAATGACCAAGTTCTGTGGTTGTACTTAAGTCATACTTTTACACTTTACTGTTTACATTATTAAGGGCTAATTAAGTACGTAAGTTGCATAATATTCCATTGACGGAGTGTCTTGTATCGAGTTAATGTTAGGCCTCTGTTTCTGTTTTTTTTTGTCGTCGTTTGCATCGATGGTTCCGGGGAATCCCGCGAAGCGCTCGTCGTACTCGCTGGTTGGAAATTCGACGAGAAGAGATATTTGTGCCTTTTGAAGAACGCTACACGAGATTGATGTATCTTTGCGTAAGAATTGATTTTAATCCTCGACCGGCGAAACAACCCACGCTGTGCCTTTGTAGCTCTCCGATCGGTTACGATAGTCCTCCGTCAGAGTCTACGCGTACCCTAACCTCGAAACGTATCGTCAGCTAGGAACTCCTTGCATCGATTTTTATAGCCCCCTCCGCGCCAACAATCGCGTAACGAGTAATTCCCTAGCGCCGGTCGAGGATCCAGCGAGTCGATGTGGCGATTTGCGCTAATCGTTGCATTTACATCCGTCCCGGCGATCCCAGGAACGTCGACGAAGGCCTGTGACACCCGAAAGAACCGCTTAACGAACTCTTTATCGGAAGTCAGGTATCGAGACCGCCTGTCGGTTAATGGTCCCGGCCACACGACGCGCTCTGGACCTTGGTCTCACTTTTGTGATTATTATTTAAGTACATGTTAAGCGTATGTTAGGCTAGGTTAGGCTTTTTACAATATTTCCTTTATGTTCTTGAGAAATTTTCGTTGTCCTTCTTTTCTCGCCCGAGAACAAATCGCACGTGTATCCTTCACGACCGGATAATACATCGAACGCCCGACAGATGGCGCGTAGTTTCGCGGAACCCAAGCGAGAAAAGAGCCGTGCATTTATATATTTACAAATCCGACCAAGATTTCGGAGGACGATTTTACCCCCCTCCACCTTGGAGTCCGAGGTGACACGCTGTTCATCGAGACAGTGTCACGATAGGAACACGTTTAATCCGTACGACGTACTAGCTCTTACAAGCTCTGTAACATAAGTTTCTAGCCGTAACGTCAAGAAGGTGTAGATTTCTGATTCTCATGATAAACATTCTATTTTGCGTAATGAAACTGAGAAAGAAGGCACTCGGTCCCCTTTACGACGAAACTCCGTGCGTACGCCGTATGCCGAGGTTCGCCGACATTTTGCCAAGAGAACGTATTGCAGTGCTGCCAGTGTTTACTGTATCGTATGAAAAATCCCCTGCACACCGTCCCACCAATCCATCTCGCCATCCGTTTTCTTACCGCCATCGTTATCACGATTTATGTCCTTCCCAAGTTTATCCTCGTTAAGTCTAGTTATTCGCATTGGGCATTGGATGCAACATTGTCCCGCATCTTTGCGTTGCATTTCATCGACGCGAGGTGGCGCGTCGGTTCTCCAACGATGGGTTCGTGTTTTTTTTTTTTAATGGCGAAATGCTCGAATGCGTAAGGGTCGAGGATCGTTGTGCCTTCGAATGCGCACGTTGATATGTTTAACGATTGTAACGAGGGCAGACATCCACTTTGTGATTCCGTAAGCAGTTGTTCAGTGTTTTTTTTTTTATACTTCCCTTAATGCTTATCTAGGATAGCTTGTGTACCCTAAAGAGTGTTTCAATAAAATTGACAATGAAATCAATCTGTTCTGTTAATGAATTAAAAAGCTTTCTGCGCATCCAGTGACACGAGAGGAGGGAAAGTCATCGAACCCCATTTACTATTCCAATTCCAATCCCAATCCCATGAATAATTTACGAAGGAAACTGACTGTAAAGTGTAATAGATGTCTGACTGTTAATGGACTAAACTACTTATTCTTAGATTGCAGGCAAAACGTAATCGACAGATGTCGCCACTAGTTTCTGTATATCAACATGCAGATGCACATTTCTATCACAGACGAGATATACGATTAATGTGTTCCTATTAACACTCTCTTTCCATACGTAGGTACAAACTTATATCACAGACTAGGTATACGAATAGACCTTATGAACTTTCGAGGCTCAATCTGGCTGCCATACCGACTTGCAAATTCGGAGGTGATTTTAGCGTCCTCTTCTCATGGATGGCGGTAAGTTGAGAAACTAATCACTTTATTAGTATTGATGGGCAGACAACTGTAGTGGGTGCGTAAATAGGAAATTGTTTAAACATCGAATCAGAATAATAAACGCTTCCCGAGACAAAACTTGAGTTCTTCCGTATTTTATAAGATCCGCGCTAATAAATAAGCAACCGGCCAAAAGGTAGAGAAAGGGCTGCCATCTAGCGTCGAAGATAGCGAACTATTTCACGACAAACTTGGACGTTTTCCCACCAGGTTTTCTTACATTGTATTTTCGGGAAAAGAATTCTTTCCTCGAAAATGCGTAGTATTTCGAGGGTATGTGTATTCACCAAAAATGATTGTAAACGACCCCCGCAACTAAAAATAATTTTCTCAGAATGATCTGAAACAGTTTTATGACCTAATTTGACCTTTTTATACCTAAATTGCCATAAATCTGACGGAAAGGAATGGTTGACGGGAGTAGCTGAATGAAATCACAGTCACTCCACAAACAGTCTAATATAAATAATTATCGATACAATCGTATACAAGAGCACTTAAATAGGAGGGGATAGGTTTCTAATCGGCTTGACAAGTTCGTGACAGAAAGTAAACGTTCGGTGTGTTCAAAGTATTTAATCGACTAGATGTGACTTTAGCCTTCGATATACAAGTTAGATTTTCAAATAGAGAGGTAATAGCTGGTAAAATGTTCACTCGAACCCCTAGGCGTACGATGAGAGAAAAAGCACACAGCTCGCGTGACGTGATTAGTAGAAGTTATTTATTATTACCTCGTCGTATTCGTTGTACATGATATAATAAACCTATCGTAATCGCAAAGTATCAATGTATCGTACAATCTCATCCCGTCCGACGAAACAAATTTCTTCGAATCCGCGATACGGATCCAAGGGCGTTTTACAAACCCGATCGTAAAGTTACCCTGAACAGGCGTACTCCCACGTGGAGCAAAAGTATTTTCGTAAACAAACTTGTGCAGACAAAGAATCGTTATTCAACGGCGTATTCTCCTCAATGGACAGAAACCAATCACACCTCACGTATCGAGTCACGCAGTCACGCGGTCCACAACCGCGACCAATCGCACACGAATACTTACGTGTATCGTTTTTCGTCGCGATACACGTGGGATCACAGTAAAATCGCGAAAATTTTTTTTTTCTTTTCTTTTTTTTTTTTTTTCTTTTATTCTTATTATTCGTCGCCGCCTTATAGTTAAGATCATCTTGTTCCACATTTTTTTTGTTTCAGCGAGTACGAAGGGACGTATTGTAAGTATACGCCGTCCGGGTCCTTAAAAATCTACGTTACCGATCGCGCCTGCGCAATCGTCCTAGCTATTGTCTGTATGCAACAAGCGTATATTGACTATACGTTTTTTTATTTGATATTTTCGTTAAGTTTTTTTTTTATTTATTTGTACTACAATGCCAATTCACGCTACTCGTCCTCGTTCTAAAAACTTCTACGGGCACCTAAGAAAGATTTGATTAAGCTTTCCCCGCGTATTCCGACGAATCTACCCTCTCCCTGCGTATCCCCAAAAAATTCGGAGATCCATCCGGTTTAACAACGAATAGAATATAAATTCAAAATTTAAACAGCGATCCTGTCTTTGCAAACGTTTTCGTAATCATTATTGTGCGACATCTGAATCCCGAAGAGAAAGAATAAGAAGAACAAGTTCGATCGCGCATCTCCGAGCGGAGCAAAACGAAAAAACCTCGTCGCCATTTAAGTTTCAAAGTCATAATTCATCCGTTCACGCTCACGACACGGACAATCCAGGCAAGGATATGTAATTATCAAACGTGTGAATTGTAATTGATAAAAGACTTGGAGATTACGTTACAGTAGCCTCTACCGTCGAGTTCCGGTCTCGCCTAAATTTATTTCAAAGAGCAGCATTTTCAAAGAAGTGTCTATCGAGAAGTATTCGCGAACGCGTTCGCATCGTCCTTGTGATATAATACGGCAATCGTTCGAATATCACAGTTTATCGAGTATATATGATATGTAGTCAGCGATTCGATCGATAAGTCGTTCGATAGTAATAAAAATTGTCTCGCGGTGTGTCTATTTACATGCAAATGTTCGTTCCGTTTCTCGTTGGTCGAGCGGACGCGATATATAATAACGTTTCGCTGAACGTCGGATGAAATATATGTAAAGTCGAAAAATACAAACTGGCCAGAGGCGTAACTAGACGGGTGTGCAGCCCGTAAGCGTACAAGATTCTCGTTGAGATTTCCCTAAAGCGTATACGAAGCTGCCTCCGTTACGATTTCGTTTCTTCGACAGAGATCACAGCTCTCCGATTCATCGACCAGGGCACTCGTTTCGCGAGATCTGCTGGATTCGTACGATAACGTCGACCAGACTTACCGGCAACCGGGACAAAATGGCCGACAAAACGTAGAAGAATAAGTCCAACGACTTGACATCGACGTTTGAATAATGTCGTTTGTAATACAATTTGTTATCAGTAGTAGAATCTGTTTGTAACGAAATTTACTCAAGTATCCGTTTCAAAACAAGCGACATTATTCGTATTTATCTTTGGTATAAGTATTTAGTTTGATGGCCTTTACAGTATCTAACAAATTGTATGCTTCAAGTTTTGCCAAAGTCGTATGGAAATGGACGTGGAAAAATATGTTTATTTAACCGTAATAATGAACTTAACCTTAATTTAAATAGTTTCAGATACGAATCTTTAATTAGAAGATAATATTGTATTAATTTTTTGTATGCTTTTTCAGGACTTAATTGACTACATATTACTCTAGGAAGCGTCAATATGTTAGAATCAAACAGATTGGGGAAAAGTATGTGAAGCGCCTGGTACTGCTTGGTACGTGCGAGAAATACACGGTACGAAATAAAAATAACTCGCAGTGCATCGTGGTGCCTTCACTCTTCGTCTATTTCATTACTGTCAACCATTTTGCCTCGGTGTCTGGCGACTCCGCCGATAAAGATGCAAGCGGCGTGTTATGACACGCGAACCTCGTGGCGCCGCGATGGTGGCGCGACGGTGATGTAAGAAAATAAGTGACTTTATAGAACCGGAAACGAGAAGATCGTATCGCACTGATTGGCGGGCTACCGGTGTCGCGGGCAGGCTTTACGATTGCACGAAACGAGCCTTCGAACGATTCTGCCTCGTCTCGCCCGGAAATCGCTATGTAGTACATTGTTGGGCAGCCTTTATTTCCGCACGACGAACATTAACTTTAAATTCGTTCGTAACCTAACTTTTGCTCGATGCTTTGCTGGCTTACAGTCCACGAATGAATCCTTATTTACGACCGAAACGTAAACGAAAGCTAGCCAACGAATTTAACAATTTTATTCGCCGTTCGAAAATTAAATTTTCCCAACTTTCCTTATGCGACAACTTTTGTTTCCATGAGACGACCAAGTGGAGCAAAACGAAACAACGTGACTGTAACAGAACCGCTGTTATATGTATAAATAGCAACGAACCATTTCTAAATTCTATGTACATCGTATTAACAAAAAGAAAAGGTATAAAATAAAATATACTGTTCACATTCGATATCGTCTCATGGAACGTGCTATATCTTATCGACTAGAGCAGGATTTCCCAAAGTGCTCACAACGAATGACAAATCAATCGAGTCGAAAGCACAGTGTGGCACATGATCGACAAAGTTTGGGAATCCCTGGACTAGAGTGTCGAAGACTACGTTAGTCAACAACCCGCGCTGGCGCTGCGCGCGCATCGCAAACGGTCCTTCGGCGCGCAATTCGAAATTCGTTCTCCGACCACGAATCTCACAGGGTTGCCCTGCCCAATTGCATCCTGGCGTCGTTGGCGCGTCGTCGACGTTTCTTGACGAATCAGAAACACACCGAGGGCCTGTAGAGACCCGTGTATCCGCAAAGTCGGGCGCGCAACGCTGGCAACAGTATGGCCGCCGCGGAAAGATTGTCTTGCAGCTGCGAGCACTCGCAGATCAGTAGGTACATCTTGTCGCCCTGTGACATGGATTTGTGCAGCGTGATGCGTCTCAGGCCCACCGACTTCGGCAAATATCGGTACATCATACGGGCGCCTGCAATAAATCAAGTTTTCATGTTGTAGTTTCAGGTTATGTATCTTACAAAGAGACTGTAGGGTAGTGGAAATCGCTTTTGAAACGGATGTAGTAAACATATTAATAACCTACTAGCGTTTCAAAAGTGATTTCCACTATCGTAAGGTCCCCTTGTTAACGTATTGCTCTCTCCACCTTGACGCTCTTCGCCCCATACCAATATCTCGTAAACGGTTCAAGTCATAAAAAAGTTCAACGAGAGAAATTTACATGACTTTTGGGGGGTCCTGTCGATTAGATGGAAAAGAGAGGACAGGGAGAGTGTTTCGTCCCGGGTCTGCTAACTCGTCGATAAGGCATCCTAGCAGACCCTGCCTTAGACGTCAGGATATTGGGAGTTATTTGACGTTCGTATATGTATATGCAGAGGGAAGGTCGGAGTGCTTGCGAGAGGAACAGTACCCTCTGGCGACAACTACGGAAGCCGATGGACCCCACAACTTTAAGCCATTACTTTTTTTTTATTCTTGACCACCCCGAGTCACAAAGGTCGACTTAGTTTTCCAGCCAGTAGAGGTAAATTGCAATTAAAACGATATCGTTGGAGTCCCATATCTATCTAAGCATTGTTGGAACTCCAAGTTGGGACAGTGTGGTTAGAGATAGAGAAATAGAGTTACCGGTCCAGTAGAGCCAGTTCTGTTCGAACTTGAGGCCGTCGTCGCCCTCGAACACTTTAAAAATCGAGACAATGTAGCCAGTGGACGGAATCGGTGGTCTTACACCAGGTGGCTCCAATGGCGGCCTCGCGATGGTCGCCACCTCGTTGAACAGGTCCAGCGTGTGGCTGGCCGCGTATCGCAGATCGCGTGGATCGAACTTCCTCAGAGCAGCGCATTGAACCTCGTTATAAAAGTCCACGGGATCCGTGTTCTGTTTGTTGATTAGGTAGTAGGTGATGAACGGGAAATCCGCTGAAAGTATTCGAGTATCGGGTTAACGACGGGGAACAATGAGAGACGTCTCGTTAAGGGATGACGAAGCGTCCAATTTAGCATCGCGTCCACCGAGATCCCCTGTCCGCGGTTTCGACAACCGACGAGGCGCGTTGGATCGCGTTACAAGCGAGGCGTGGTCGGTTCTAATCTATTACAAGGCGACGTCGAATTACCATTTTTCTCCATGTTCGTGAGCAGAATGCTCTGGGAGGCGGAGGGTGCTATTTCGGCGACCAACTCGGCCGCAGTGTCCCGTTGCAGAACCAACGGACGGGAAACGGGAGTCTCGATTAAAGGATCCAGCGGCTCCAGGGGCGTCATGAAATGCGCCAGAACACATTGCTTCGGGTCCTCGACCTCCAGGACCGACAGCGGGCTGCCTGGTCTCTTTTTATCCGCGATCGGGGCGTGCTGGAACGAGTTGGAATAAAGCTGTGATTGGAAAAAGACAAATTAATTCGCTCCTCCGTTTGACTACCAGCCACGGCTATTATCGTTCATTCATCAGGACAGTCCAATAATTCCTACTCTTTCGTCGTAAAAGTCAAAGGGCTGGCCATGTGCTCGAGGCATTAGGGCTGTGCAAAAGATTATTATAGATCTCTTTATTAATCTCGCTCCAAGAATTCATTTTAAACTACTGTGACGAATTGAATAAATTGAAACTTGTTTTAATGTTTAGGGTTTTAAAATTGACTACCTAGGATATTAAAGTAGAATTCGCAAAAATGAACGTGAATGAAGAGTGTTTGTATCAAGGGGATGAAACTTTTTCAAACTGGGCGGCTCGATAACTCAGTCAATTTTCATCCGATTTACTCAAAATTTGGTATGATGATTCCTAATACTATTCTCTTTGGTTGCGCCCACGGAATTTTCGATCGAATAATTAGTTTCGACGTGGTGTTAAAAGAAATATAGACTTTCTCACAGGTTTTCGGCATCTTTTCTTCAAAGTTCCTCCATTTTATAATAAATTATTATAGTTGTACAATTGAAGCTACTGTCTTATAGCTTAAGAGAATTGCATGATTTCTTGTTTTAGAATTTGCAGTAAAATATTACTATTATGTCTATAATAATTAATATTTTTATACGAAATTTTTACAGCAAGTAGTTCAAGAAATGTACCTTCAAGAACATTAAACATTTATTAGAAAAAGTTTCAAAGTCACCCTCCAAAAAATTCTTGAAAATTGCTTTTATTCTCAGCCATGACAATGGTTTCCAACCCTTAATAGAAACAATTACTTCGATGCAATTTTCTTGGTAATTTCCTTGTACGTAATTTTCATTCACAAAAACCGTTTAAAGAACTTCCTTGTACGTCCAACAGTTTTAAAGATCGGAAGATTGAAACTTTAAAGGGTAGCAATACTTATTCGCTCTAGGAACTTGCGAAACGTCAAAATGGAGGACGTTTCGTGGATGTTCCTTGACAGTTGACTCTCATAAGATATCAAATGTGTCAACCGTGACTAGTCACTCGTTACAAGTTTGTTTCCAAGTTCTATATATCTAATTTAGCGAAATTAATTAGTTTTATATTTTTTTATAATAGGAAAACGATGCGATTCTTTTCAATATGACTGAATTTGAATTCCATCCAAAGACACTCCCTCTGGTAAGCGCGGACCGATCTGATAGAATGAAATAATAGGGAAAACAGGATATTTTTACTCGTTAGTCGCGGTACATGCGTTATTTCCGTTACGTTAGTACGTCACTCGTTGGACATGCGTTTGTTGTTCTTCGCCTCGGTGGCCACACTTTTGTCTATTTTTAAGCGTCTGAGGCCGTCCAGCAAGGTCACCGCTGGTCGCGGTTAATCGCGACTCTAAGGCCAATAACTCGAGCATTCTGGTTTCAGCAGGTGCATTCACGATTAACGTAGTTTTATGCAGATCATTCTCCGTGCGCTGGAAAATTCTGTCCAACGAACAGGGTGAGTTGCCAAAATCGTAGCGCTTCGAACGCTTCGTTTTGTACTGGGTGACTCTAGTCACTGGGCCGGAAAAAAATTTTGTGTGATTTCATAACCCTTATTATCCTATAACACTTATACAATAGCATAAAATCAATATTATAGGAGATACGTCAGGTTTTCTTGGATAGAAAAGTGTATTAAAATTAAAAGCTAAAGTGTGTTTGTGCAGTTTTGTTTCTGTTAAAAAGGGGCTGAACAACCGAACAATGGAAAAGTATCGAGAACAGTGCAAGGAACTGTTTAGAATGCAATCGGAGTTCGAGCAGTTGCAATATTAAAGATAAAATGAAGTATCTCATAAAATATTGAGTTTTTGATTACCCAATGAATCGATTTATGCGAAGAAAACGAGGAGCCTCCGGTTGAAGAGAAAAATTCAATTGCACTTGGAAAAGGTCAGGTTATAGAATAATATAGATTATTTAACCACGCAACATTTTATTATAATATCCTAGCCCAGTTTATAGACACTTCTTATTTGGTACTAATTCGCTCTCAAATTAATATCGAAGCAAAAACAAAACTTTTTAGTAAATTATTTTCGAAAGTCTAATGCCAAGCCTCGTATATTGAAATTGATATCGAACGAGTTCTAATTTTTACGAACGTGGCAGCGCTAAATTAATTTTACTTTAAAAAGTATAATATTTAAGATCTTTGATGGCCTCGTAGACTTTACAAAATTTTCAAAGCAGGCAAAGGTCTTTTGCAAAGGGTTACGGGACTCTTTGAGTTCTCATACACGATTCAAGATGTCTTCGAAAGCTTAAACAATAGTTAAATAGAAGCTTAAATGCAAATTAGTGCGAAATAAATTAGACGTACCGGTACACCTGCTGGCAAAAAGCGTTCGAGAGACGCGAGGGGGATGATGAAACAGTCTCGGTCCAACGTGGCCAAAGAAATTGGTTCCCCGCGGGGTGGACTGTTCCCGGAAACCACGAGTGGCGTGTACGCGCCGGATGTCCGGTTGCCGCTGAAGGAAACCTATGAGCATCGTTTGAATCAATTAATTCCCACGGACTCGCAATAGATTTATGACAAAATGTTATTTACTGCTTGCAACGATAAAATCATGTAAATTATACAGGTGGAAATAATTTTACGAAAGAATTTCTCAGTTTTTCTCAAAGTTGCACAGTTTTAAGAGACATATGTAGCCCTGGAAAGACTTTTAAATATTTTTTCTTTCGTTCTAATCGAACAGACGAAAATAAATTCAACGATCTTCTAAACCATCAATAGATCATTCAACGCATTACAATTTGAGGAACTTTTTTACACAACAATTAATAACTTTTGGACGATGTGTATCAAATGCAATGGCTGAAAATAATTATAGGTTTACTATTCTCTGTGAACATTCTTGTTGCACCACTTAGTTGAGTTGGAGCAGTCTAAACATTAAAACGTAACTTCTTCAAAAATTTGTAAAAAATCATAATATTAATAGAGCGAAATAATTTTAGGTTTAAGATATTCTTTGTAAGAATGATGTAAATTTTGGATTTTTTTCTCGAAGTTAATGTAGAACTATAATTTCTAAATATTTTGTATTCAATTTTAGATTAAATTGAGCCTTCATAGCATAATGGACTGCGGGAAACGTTTAACTGATTTTGAAAAGTTCAAGTTATTTTTTTTAAAGGATATGAGCCTTTCGAACTGAAAAATTACGAATAATATTGTAAAATTAGGAGAAAAATATGGCAGTGAAGAGTCTACGTGTCCTTCAGGAAGACTTTCTAGGAAAGATCGAGGAGAAATCTTTCAAGAAACTCGAAAAAATGAACTCAATACAAGTCAAATAAAAACTAAATTAGACTTGAGAGTAACTGCTCGACATGTTCGACAAGTCTTAAACTCAAGTGGAACTATATATTATGAAAAACGAGCGAAAAAACCTCCTCTAAGAGAACTTCGTAAAGCGGAAGTGGGTTTAAAAATGGAGAACAGTGTTTTTGAACAAAAATGTTGAAGAAAATGCAGCTTTATGATATAAAATTACAGTAAATCTGATGTCAATAAAATGAATCTATTACTTCGGTCACTGTATACAGGGTGTTCGCGTTAAATTTGACCAGCATTTTTCTCGCAAACAGTAAGTACATGAAAAAAACGAAAGAGGGAAAAGTTTAAATATTTTTATGTACAATAAGATGAATGATACTAATTTCTTATACTTGCAATATTTTTCGAGAAACGAACGGGACCTTAAATTTTTTAAATCGAATGATTCACTCAGCATGAAAACAGTTGTCAAGACAAATTTAATTATACCTAACCCTGTATAAGAACGCAAACAGCGAAGATATATGTAATTATGTAAATGTTTTTAAGTATCTGCCCGCCACTGTATATTCGAGAATCCCTCCCACGAGTCTGATGTCATTATTCGCATGACTTGCAAGCTTGTCTTGGCGTTTCCCTCCCTGTCGTGGCCGTATACTCAAGAATACCCATCGTGCCAGCGATCCTCCGCTAACGAAGCATCCGCCATTCAATTATCCAAACCTCGTGATCCTGCACCGGGCGGCCATTAATCCGTTCGAACGACGAACCGTTCCGTGTCCGATCACGTACATTCTCCCGATGTACTCGTTTAATGTCGATCGTAAACAGGACGTCCATTGCCCCGTGTTTAGCAGAGTTTCCTTCTAGGCCCCGGTTCCGTTGCATTTTTAACGCCCGCGTCCGCCGAATTGCTCCTCGGAGTAACAAGTGAATTTCGAAGTCGATAGCGTCGTCCCAGGATGTAGGTTAACGCGATTCCTTTCGTTGTTCGTTGCGGTGCACGAAGTACCCGGAGACCGGGCCGTGATTTATGGCGACACGCGAACGCCTCTGACTGTTCCTGACATTTTGGGCCAGGTTGCACGACAGGGCGTGACATTCTCGACGTTGGAGACTTTTGGGCGGCGACGAAGACTGCGGAGGCTCGATAGTTCGCAACCGAGGCTCCAACGAAACTTGAAATTATCAATTAGTTCCGATATTTTGAAATAATTCCACAAAAATCACGAGTTATTCCCTCATCTACGTTTCTACTGTTTGTAAAATAATGTTGAGTAAAAGATTGTTAAAACTTTTGTATTTTACTTTGAAGTATCTGTTAATCGAATATAAAATAACAGAATTGAAGTGTTAACGTGAAACAGAAAAAAATACAATTTATAAGTTAGAAATTTCATCAAATAATTTCTATTTATAAAAGTTTACAGGTTCGTTCAAGCCCTGATCGTAACCATAGACACCTTACGTCGCAACCGCCATTTTCATTGCACGAATGCTCCCTCGAAGCATCGAAAACAGCCATTCTGAGCTGCGCGGAAGTTTAGAATAATTTATCGTAGATTTCAGAACGAGATGAAATACTCGAAGAGATCAATGATATTAAGACACGTACAGGGTGTCTTTTAATTGACCACAGTGAAGTGTCTTTAACGAGAAATATCCTGGTACAAATAGTTTTTAAAGGATCGATTCGTGTAAAATTTAGAAGCCATAAGAGACACCCGAGTGTTTCATCCTGCACAGAATGTTCTAACGCGTTTTTCGCTGAGAGGTCTCGAGTAATTTCCCTACCATTTTCCTGTCCTCTTTTCATATCGTTCCAAAGGACGTTTTCTCGCCTCAGGTTTCACGTTTGGCGAAGAGAAACGACAACGTTCCGGATATATTTACATTCGGCGGGAAACCGAGTAAAGTCGGGTGCGAAATACAAAACCAGCGGCTCCTGAAGACGCTGCGAATGTCCGACTGACAGATGGCGGGTCGCTTTACGTTCCACGGAAATGGATTCCCGTCCGACAATTTTTTTAATTCGCCCGAGTGCTGACCCCGTAAAACTTTAACGATGTTGCCTCCACGGCGATGTATTATTCCGCGTCGATGCAGCCGAGCGTGGCGCGTTTTTTCGAGTGGAAATAAAGTATAGAGTTCAGGATTCGCGGTGCCCGATTAACAGAGGACGAAGGTTAATTTTTGGTCCGCCATTCTGCCCGGCACGAGACCGTTCGTAAATTGTTTTTAAGCGGAGAATTTTTTTATTGGACTTTATGAAGCTCCTTTACTCCATCGAACAGGGCGGTGGTCTAAGAAAAGGGCTCCACCCTTTAGTCTCGCATAAATATACCATGCAGACACGAGTCTACACACAATTTGTAAAAATAACCCATCCTAACGATATGGGTAGTTAATTTTTTCTTTCCCGAAATCTTCTCTAACTACCCTTAAAATTTAGGGCAAAGATAGGAGACTTCAATTGACAAAATACAATTGAAATTATTAGAATTAGAATACTCCAATAATAATGTTTTTTTCTTCCTTGAAATCTTTTCAAAAACTGCCCTTAAAATTTGGGTCAAAGGTATGAGATTTTAATCGACGAAATAGAAATAGAAATAATAATAATCTGTATAGAAATGATTAAACTTAGAATATTCCAAATTTCGTTGGAAATGTTATTTAATATGACTGTTACTTTGGGCGATATTATATTAAAATGCCGTGTTTAACTCGAAATATAATTGAAATTATTAAAATTAGAATATTCCAAATTTCGAGGAAAATATTGTTTAGTATAACTGTTACTTTGGACGATATTAAAATGAAACACGTTCTGCACAGAGTAGGAGAGGCCATTTTATTCCTCTTGAACACTGCTGAGGGGTAAATGCTGAGGATAAAATGAGAAACAAGCGTTACATAAACAATAATCGCGTGGTCACTCGCATTCAATTTGTTCCAATATCGGACGACAGGTTGTATCCACTTCTCGGAACAACTATAGCCCCAGCAACCTACATGGATGAACCAATGTCCAATGACAGTGGCCTTGAAACTTGCCAGCCTACGCTTGTGTTATTAGTATTAATGACAATTGCTTAGCAATTTATAAGTCGACACCTCCATTCGTGCTATTACAAAACCACTAAGAACATTCTGATCCCACTACGATAATATTAAAACAAAGAAAACGAGATATTTTTTGATATAAGTAATTAGAAAAATTGCGTAAAAGTGAAGCGTCTGACCCAGTCATGCTTTTCAACCTAATCTCAATCTGTACTATCAGAGAATCGTAAGGTGGAACTTAGGTGCGATTGTAGGTCAGGGCTGCTTTGTCAAAATCATAGCACGTGAAATAATTTTTAAAGAAGAATTAAATTAAAAATTAAATAATACTTAAAATTAGCAACATAAGTGATCTTAAATATGTACATTATTCAAAAGTTAATTGTGTTATCCGGGGTCCTCTTGATGTTGTTAATTTCAAATTAGTATTATTATTTATTTAATTCGTACCTTTCCATATACTTTGACAAGTTCATCTAATATAATATTTATCCCTTACTTTTCTTCCAGAGGCTTATAATTTACGATCAGTGTCTCAGTATTAAGTTGTTTTAATAAAATCCATTTAAAAAGTATAATAAAGTATTATTTTTTCAATTTGTCACTGTTGGGCCCTGTTTAGTATCGGTCCTCAGGAGTCAATTTCTGTCGAATTCTATAATCATCGAAAACCTTAGCATTTCAAGAAAAGAACGCCATTTTGAAAGATTGTAAAATCACCGAGGAGCATCTAAATTAATTAATAAAGTAACTAAATTAATTTTATTCTGAAAAATGCCACTTGTAAACTATAATATTTAAGATCTTCGAGGGCCCCGTAGACTTTACAAAATTTCCAAGACATTCGACGACAAAGGTCTTTTGCAGAGCGTTTTGACGCCATTTTGAAAGATCGTAAGATCATCCAGAAGCATCTAAATTAATTTTATTTTGAAAATTGTCACTTGTAAACTATAATATTTAAGATCTTCGAGGGCCCCGTAGACTTTACAAAATTTCCAAGACATTCGACGACAAAGGTCTTTTGCAGAGCGTTTTGACGCCATTTTGAAAGATCGTAAGATCATCGAGAAGCATCTAAATTAATTTTATTTTGAAAATTGTCACTTGTAAACTATAATATTTAAGATCTTCGAGGGCCCCGTAGACTTTACAAAATTTCCAAGACATTCAATGACAAAGGTCTTTTGCAGAGCGTTTTGACGGCATTTTGAGAGATCGTAAGATCATCGAAAAGCATCTAAATTAATTTTATTTTAAAAATTGCCACTTGTAAACTATAATATTTAAGATCTTCGAGGGCCCCGTAGACTTTACAAAATTTCCAAGACATTCAATGACAAAGGTCTTTTGCAGAGCGTTTTGACGGCATTTTGAGAGATCGTAAGATCATCGAAAAGCATCTAAATTAATTTTATTTTAAAAATTGCCACTTGTAAACTATAATATTTAAGATCTTCGAGGGCCCCGTAGACTTTACAAAATTTCCAAGACATTCGACGACAAAGGTCTTTTGCAGAGCGTTTTGACGCCATTTTGAAAGATCGTAAGATCATCGAGAAGCATCTAAATTAATTTTATTTTGAAAATTGCCACTTGTAAACTATAATATTTAAGATCTTCGAGGGCCCCGTAGACTTTACAGAATTTCCAAGACATTCGACGACAAAGGTCTTTTGCAGAGCGTTTTGACGCCATTTTGAAAGATCGTAAGATCATCGAGAAGCATCTAAATTAATTTTATTTTAAAAATTGCCACTTGTAAACTATAATATTTAAGATCTTCGAGGGCCCCGTAGACTTTACAGAATTTCCAAGACATTCGACGACAAAGGTCTTTTGCAGAGCGTTTTGACGCCATTTTGAGAGATCGTAAGATCATCGAGAAGCATCGTAGACTCGTCGACGGAGTATTCGTGCTTCGTAGTTGGATTTTTCGTGTCGGAATGGCGATGTACCAGGAGTCCTGCTGGTCCTCAGACAACGAGTCAGCGCAACGATCTAGCGAGGAATTCGGGATCAATCGGTGGTCCGGAATGGGCACAATGAGCGGCGGATATCGAGCATAGTCCGGCCGGCTCCCAGGAAATTTATGGCACGTCGCGAGATCCGCCTTGGCGTGCAATAAGATAGCGAGTTTGCGTGCCGCGGCGTAGGTGTAACTTCGTGCGGTCGGTTCCGTGCACGGCCACTCGTTTCCGCCATAATTCCGTCCCGCGAAACTATCCCGTGTTCGAGGGCACTCGTCGTTCTCCCAGTACGTGCATCCTGGCCCAAGGCGTCCACTTCCCCGCTGAAATATCGTCACGAGTGTCCGACTAGCCGTGTTTCAGGTAGCTAACCACTCGTCGATGGCCAGTCTTGTTCGAGGGATGGGTTACACCGTACAATTTGCACGATTACTCGGTCTTGCTCGGTCGGCCATTGGAAAAAAAACTATACTCCGAAACTCTTTCCACCCCTCGATTCGTGACTTGAGCTTTCGCGGTCCTACATACGTCGATCTAGGGTATTTCGTTCCTGGTCTTGAGTCAATGTACCATTTTTTTACTATTCGATCTTCTCGCAAAAGAAGCATTTCATAATCATTTAATTAACATAATTTTAATACAGTTTTATATTAAAAGTTACTTGGCAGTCGGTGTTCACCTAATCCCCCTTATGTTTGTTATTTTATCTCTTAATTACAAGTATTCTTCGACCAAACACATACTACATTCATTCAAAATTAGTCTTCTACTGTAATTTTTGCTATTTCTCGTTGTAAATATTTGTAAATATTACTGAAAGAGTAATAAATACATATGTAAAATGTCCATGCTAGAAGTTGTATAGTTTCTTTATAAAAAAAATATCAAAGAGAACATATAAAACGCGTTTTACAGTAGAAGACCCCCATAAATAAAAATACATTTTTCCTATATATTTAGTAATTTTTTACGAGTTGAAAAACATTTAATAATAATTTCTGTGTAAATTGAATAAACTCTACTTATTTTCGTTTTCCTTAAGAAAAATATAACAAGAAATGTATAACCGATTATTGAGGGTAAAATTGTTTGACGAAAAAAGCCTTAACGCAGTTAATATTCTTTACATTTTGCAAAGATTGAAGATTCTCGTCGAGAGTCGCATTGGATCCTGTGTTTTCTGAGCCGGAGCACTTCTCCTTGATAAATTGAACGAGTTAAGTCGACGACACATCGAGATACACGATATTGTCCCCGTGCAAACGAGTCACGAGTGACAACGCCTGGTTTGGATGTCGACTTTTAAGCTTTGAAACCAGCTCGGTGGCTGAGGCGGCTCCTGACTGATTAAATTCAACCCACATTCTACTAACTGGCGACACTTGAATCCTAATCTCTGGTTAGATACGAGAGAACGATTCTAGCGTGCAATCGGGTGCATCAAGATCGTTCGTCTCTTAGGTCGGCCCGACGCCATGATTGGAGATTAATTCTAGCCCTTTTGGGGTTGGCAAATAGGATCTGCGAACCATCCTGGAATCGCCAGAGGCTCTAAGCAGGTTGCTTCTCGACGTTACACGGGCTAAGTTTATCTTTGGAATTCCTTCCTTTCGAATGTCGAAGTCGAGAAGAATTATCTGACTGAATTTAATTTGACTCTGTTTTGAGCAACGATCGTTTCAAATATTTTTAAATCATCTTACAAAGAACTTCCAGTGAATTTTTATCATCGGTTATGCCATTATTTCAACGACGAAATGATTATTTCGAAAGTTATTTTACGAAATAACATAACGTAAGTGTATTTAAAAAATGAAATAGCCGTGAAGGAGGATAACCTGTTATTTTAAATAGTCTTTCGAACAACGTTGCCTCGAGTGTGCTCAGTCTGCTCGAGACACACTTAAGAGATATCTAAAGTGACGCTTCGGAGTACAAAACCGAGTACTTGTATCTTCTATAACTTCAACTTCTTGAATGAAAGCATTTTATCGTTAAACGTGTACTTAAAGTAAAATTTGCAAGACTTTTCTACCAAAGACTGTCCTCACAAAATATCGCTATATTTGTTCAACGGAGTACATCTACAGTTAAGGGTCACACTTTCCACTGCTCTAATCCATCGATGAAGACGAGAAATAAAACGACAAATTGAACATCTACGTTTAAGCAGATAATATTATGTCATTCACAGATGTGGATTTTAAATCTGAATAAATATTATTAGTACTTAAAGATATTCTCTGTTAAAAGGTATTAAAATGGCAGCGGTTAAAATTTGTTAGCGCACCACGAGAGAACACCCATCCGGATGAAACCTCCATTTTGAATAAAAAATCAACTCCGGGTTAAAATACAAATATTCTTGTCCTTTATAAATAATGTATATTCATATAGCACGGGCCACAGACTCCACGAACGTGTACATCCACTGCAATAAATTTTTCAAAAATCATGAATATTTAACGCGTTCACCCTGGTTAATCCAATTCGTGATACCTCTCAGATCATTCTCGGTGCCTGTACTTTGTTGGGACCTTAAAAGATCAGTTCTGGGAGGAATTGTAAATTTTTTAAACAGAAAAATTATCTCAATTGGAGAAATAAAGCTCGCGAATTGGATTGGGCCTTCTTTGACTTTGAAAAATACAAAGTTGAAGTAAGTATAATTTAAATTAATTATTTGTGATGTAAAAAATGAAAAACATGTGAACGGTAAACCGACTGTTTGTAGCAGCGTTCCTCCGAGAACAGTGATTAGTAAGGTAAGTAAGAATAAATAAATTTAATTAAACAAAATTATTATAAATAGAAAAGTTTCTGCTAAAGTCTGTTGCAATTGTGTTGACAATAATATATAAATTTTGTATTCTATGAATTATTTAGTAAATATTATATACAACACTTTTTCATTAATTATACTAAATACTGTTCAGATTTCTTTTACCCCAGTGATGTTCCTAGTTCTGCTAGATAGCTCACCTGTCTGGAGGCAGTCGGTGTCGGAGGTTCTGAAGGGTCCTTCTGCAGCGTGGATTGGGTCTTCCTCCTCGCCTGGCTCGCAGCCCCTGACGCTTGCGCGGACCCGCTGCCCCCACCACCGCCCCACTTGATCACATGAGGCCCGGAGTTCCTTCTGGGTGGTGGTCCCAATCGCTCGGTCGGTTCCTCGGGCGGGCACCCAAGGGCGCCGCCTGACGGTGGCGTAAGGAACAGGTGAGTCCTATACCCGTAGCCCTGGTGCTCGTGATCGGCCATCGACGGGAAGTAGCCGAATTCTCTGCTCCGTCTGATCGGTCCCCGCGCCCCTACGGCCGCCTGAGTGGCGCCACGCACGACGCCGAAACGTGGCCCCGAGTACCCCAAGGTACCCGACGTGTACGCGCCTCCTAGGGCCGTGCGACCCTCCAATCCGCCTCCACCTCCTCCTCCACCACCACCGAAGCCCTTCTCGCCGCTGAAGTTCTTGCGGAACATAAGATTCATGACTGACAATGACGACAACCGAACCACGTCCAAAATGTATCACCGTGTGTTTCGTGACACGGTGTCGAGTTTTGCTTTTTAAACAAGCAGCGGCGGCGGTGGTGGTGGTGCTCGACGATCACGAAAGCTTCCCTATGTGTGTGTTTGTGTCCAGTCCGCGACTATGTGTTTCCGTTTCTCGTTTTCGATTCGATCAGCAACTAATTCACCAGAGCGTTTCTTTGGCGGGAGCCTACGCCGAGTTTAATTCACGATCGTATCGCGCGGTGGCGCCGTTCAGGCGTGCCAACCAAAGTCACTAGATACGTAAAGCACCATCGAGTTTGTATATTCACGATATTTTATATTATAATTTCCGTACCACGAGGGAGTTCCTAGTGCTACCCACCTTTCCCCCTTCACCGCGAGCTAATTATGCGACTGGTATATAAGGTTACTAGAGCGATACGACGAAGTATCCTTAAATGTCAAAACATTTAACCTATATCAACCCATTGCGGACATTTTGGAGTACGAACGTTAAGAAAGCACAAGAAAACTAACCTATATTTATAAATCGCATTATTTTAATTTAATTGACAAAATTAATTTTTGTTCATTTATAAAGAATTTCCAGTCTGACGAAGAAACATAAAAACTGCGTTAACTTAGACGGTACTTTACGTACGTAGGGACTTTAAGTCTAACGAGTCGGAGCTGTCGAGCTCCGAACTGTTGCACTTACGATCGAAACCCTCGATCGCATGTTTCGTGGGGAATAAGGTTCGTTTTCGGAGGAAAAATGGACGCTGCTAGGGGCATCAGCCAAGGGGAATGCCAACGGTGTTAATGAGTGTTTTTAAGCGGTTCGACGTGTCTCGACACACTCGAGTTATTCGTTTTGTTAGAGGTGCACGCCGATTAAGTGGCTCCGCGTCCGCCAAGGTTCGAGGGTTTCGTTAGGGGATTCCGGAATGATTTATTCGCCGACGCGAGAGGTGTCAGAGTCGCTTTCTGTCCAGTAAAAAGTTTCCAAGTGGGTCTTAACGAGCGTTTCCCGTATCTAGCCAATCACCAGCGCCGCGTAAAACTTTTATTCCGCGCCATTTTTCCCGGCCTTCGAAATTACTTATACCGCAGCCAGCCTGCCTCCTATATTGGAAACTGAAGAGATTGTCCTTGGATGGAATTCAAATTTACCGATCAGAAGTTTCGACGAAGATTACTTCAAAACTTTTCGTCGCGTTTACTAATGACTAATAAATAGTATCGTCAGAACTACCAATTTTATTTATTTCTATACAACTGCCAAACTAAGAAAAATATTGGGAATATATTTAAAATAGAAGCTGTACTCTTTCTGGAAGTCTATGAATTAGTAAGAGAACATTTTCTTTGAAAATTAAATTTAGTCTTACTTCGAAGATGGCTTCGTTTTAATTACTTTTTAAGTGTCTTTTCTAACTTAGAAATGGTATACACATAAATAAAACAAATATTTGAGCAAGTAATATTACTAAAATGCTTGCAGCAATCCATTTCAATTCGCGTCTCGATTCGAAACTTTTTTTCGAGTCGCTGAACGAAGCCATCTTGCAATTATGCAATCTGTTTTTGCGCGGCTCGGGTCTTGTTTAAACGACCCTGTCGACGAGTTCCCAGGAGCAATACAGACCTAACCCAGATCCTACTTTCGAACGACGTTTAATCTCATCTTCCTGTATCGTTTCGATCCAACTTGTCGTGCGAAAGAAAAGAAGTTTCACAATTTAGTTACGCGCGATCTAAGTTCCGCCCTTAGATTCTAGCGCGAACGACGATATAGCCGCGCTCGATTTAACTCGACGGAAACTTCAAGGTCCGCAATTATAATTGCGCCTCTTCGTCGACGAAACAGCGAATGATAGCGTGCTCGTGCGGAAATTGAAGATCTCTATCGCCTCCTATTACGATTCTGATTACGAATTAAAAGTACAACTGGGTACACCTAGTTGGGAACTACAGATGACCAAAACAATAACTCGACTATCCCGGATTTGAGATCACAATTTTCTGTATTGGATTCCATGCTACTTACAGCTGATAGATCCAGACTCTTGATACATTTTATTAAATTAGCGTGATAAGTAACAAACGAAGAATCGAAGACAAGACATAGACGAGTATCATAACAATTAACTAACAACATAATTTGTATTTCGTTTAATTTACGTTTGGTGTATACGTCTGTACAAGTCAGTGTTCCGAAACGAATAATTTTGTATAAAAATTTGATCGATAATTACGAATTGAACTAAGTTTGATGATGATTTTATTCACGACTGGGAGGAAATAAAGTAAGGGAACGGTAATGCTTGACAATCGATCCGACAAACACGAGCAACATTATAAGATTAGAATCTGACGAGCTCGCCACAGTGGTATAGTATTTGTCGAATGCGAGCGAAGAATTAAACGTAACGAACACAACTAATAATTGACCTGAGAAGTAATTTGAACTAACGTTGGACCATAGATTGAGCAATGGAACGAGTTTCCCTCTACCCGCGATAATTTTCCTACCGATTTGACGTCGACTGGAGACCGCCTATCTTCCGTTACGAGGCACGTGCACGACAGTAATCGTCCCCAAGTACGATTTGCGACCCAAAACCGACATCTCGGCGTAGTCGTTAAGCGACTTCGCAACGTTCGGTGGAAAAACTTTTGTTGCTTCGATTTCGACGCGACCGAAGAACCACCGCGACGCTGCTTTCCTTCGTCTTTCTCGACTTCATGCACAAACTCTTGGACCTTCACACGGAAAGCAAACAACAAGCAACGAACAGCTGGACAAAGAGGACCGATCTGATTAGACGTTCACGACACCACGAGGATTAGTCTGGTTAGAGTTCTCTACGTCTACTCAAAAATACAACGAAGCTCCACACATTGACCGCCATTTTTATGAAATTGGACACCTGTAAATACTGAAGTTTCTCGTTTACAGTAAGTTCTCGGGTTTCACGGTTATTTTGCTACGAGCTTTTTTAAAAATGCTACGAACAGATAATGTTGCACGAGGAAAGAAAGGTTAGTTCTGCGTTAATGTAAAATAAAATTCAGATAAATCCGTTGCGTCGATGGGAAGAATAATAGGATTTTTTAAGTAGAGAGTCTTACGTCTGACTGAAACGACTCAATACTACTTGCAATTTCTTCCGAAGACTGAACTTTCTTTCTCCATATAATATCCCTCTATATTACAAATTGTACTTGGTTTCTGAACAATTATATGGACGATATTCATAAATTTTAAATTTCAATTAAAACAAAAATATTTTAATGTTTCTAAAAATCTGAGTCTTGGATATTGTAGATGGGGTCCCAAAATCAGGCTTAAAAAATGTTAAATGGATCTACGCGTAAGATTAAATAAAAGGAAATTTCGTTTAATATCTAAACACATAAATATGTATCATACAAGGACATAAGTAGAAGCGTAATGGAGTATTTACGAATCCGCGTAACTCGAGAACTTACTGTATCGCCATTTGTGTACGAACTAAGGACACTGCATTGATTTTATATCGTATATTGTGAACTCCGAAGAGGTCTATTAGCCGAAGATTTTTATTACAATAATATTCGACATTTCGAAATTCATTTGTTGCTTTATGGATCACAAATAATACGATAGGAAGTTTGTCAAGATTGTTGATCATGTCTATCAACTTCGGAAGTAAACAGTTTATTGCTTCCTTTCGATCATCTATTTGTTCGACCCTCTTCGTGCAAATACATCTCTAAGAAATCAATATTAAACAAAATGTTATACCTATGGAAAAGTGACAGAGATTTCTAACGGAAGCTGGAAATTAGTGTCTGAACTCACGAATAATATAAATCACGTGTATGGACAATGTGGAGGATCCTGATTGTCTTCTAAATATACTGAGTAATTATTGACACTCTGTTAAATGATAAGAGAAGAAATGTATGGCAAAATATAAATTGTAACACGATTCAATCTAAATGTTTGCAAATAATTTTGTTAAACATTGCTCGTATATAGAAGTATTGTAGGAAGAAAGATTGGTCCAGGAAGGAATTGCAAGTAGTATTGTGTCGTTATGGTCAGACTAAGGTCCGCGACTCAAGAAAAATTACTCGACGCTGTTCACATTCGATTTATCGATATTTCTACGCTCAATTTGATGGAAAACTGATCTTTCTTCCTATAAAACTTTACGTTCTAGACATTTTTGTGTTCGCCTTGTCCAATCATCCGCTGAGTAATGTACCATCTATCTTATATAATGTAGAACTTTATGATTTAAGTGTGAGATTCTATTTCTGGCCTACTCGATTATTATGCACACATATTATAATTCGTATTTCTTGCATATTTCATTACACATTCAAAATGGAGACTTTTTTATCGATGTCTCGAGAACTAATTTTTAAAAAATCGCGCATCAAGCGATAGAGAATGTTATTGAGAATATTTGTACTAAATTAAATTCGTTTAAAGGATTTCTTAGTTATCGCATATTTTTATTAACTCTGATATGAATAAATATGGACATTTAAAAAGTATTGTTTTCAAATTCATCTCGATTAAAAGCACCGATTTCTTTTAAAAAAATCGTGAAAATACCGCTCATTTGAGGCCTAGTAAAGGTGATAAATCAAAAAGAAATAAATTAGTTCTTCTTTGCAGTTTCTTAATGTTTGAACCTTACAAAATTCGTATGCAAATTCGTAACAATTTCTATACTTTTACATTGTTATATTACATACAATCGAATGCTTTTTGATTAGTCCACATCAGATAATTTTTTAAAATACATAATGTAATACAAATGATGTTAAACTAAAATTTGTTTCGCTACTTATTTTTGTAACCTTGCTAAAGTTCGCAAATCCTAATTAATTTTCCTCGACATCTCGACTTGAAAATTAATTTTTCTAGCTCCATGGTGGTGAATCCTGTCACATACGAATGACATAGCAATCAAAGCGTTAAAGATGTATTTACCCGAACAGGATCGATCGAACGATCCCTCAGACATCCCGACGCGATCGAAAATCGACCTCTCGCGTCACAAAAATTGCACATTGCAACACTACGGCGGGTCAACGTGTCGAAAGGAAAACCACGATCACGGACACATTCAGCGATCGATGTTATCAACTTCCTAGGTAGCGTTACACAGACCAACGAATCGCCGAAAGAGGGTTTCCCGGACGTATGTACAGTCGAAGGGCTTTGGAGGACGATTTCCGGGGTAACAGGATTCGCGCGTGGAACGGATAAAGGGTTCACAGAGAACGTTCCCCGGACGCGTACGTCCTGTTCTTCACAGCCACGGATTCACGCACACAATTCACAAATAAAAAAAATGATAAACCAACATGGAACATTGACACGGGAACAATAGACACAGTCGCGGGCGACAGTGAGACACTGATCAGCGTCCTTGAACTCGGTACCTTGTGCGTTCGTTGCGTGGTTGCGAGACGAAACGAAACTGCAGTTCAAAACCCGCGTGGTATCACTGTGACACACGGATCGCGGGACACGTGTTCCGCGATAGATCGATAAAACGATTTGAAATATTCACGTAGCGCGGTTTGATGTGTATCGTGCGCGCGCCAAGGTCCTCGAGCAACCTCCCGTTTACGGTTATCTTTCCTAAAGGCCCCGCCGATTCCTTCCTCGAGCACTGACTGTTTCCCGAACGGAAGCTCGATCAACAGACGATCGATCGATCGCCGGGGGGAATGCTAGACGCGCGCGTCCTCGACGGCCGACGCGGCGAAAGTGAGGGTAGCCTGGCTACGCCACGCGACGTCCTCGACGCCGACCGTGTACGAGGCGTCGCGACGGTGACCAGGTCCGCTATCGTTCGCCAACCACTGCTGGCGATTCTGGCCCGATCCACCGAATCCAAATAAAATTAATAACTAGAAAAGTTCTCGACATTCGCGGAGATATTTCAAGGGATACTCTATCGAAAATGTGTACTTTTAATTAAGGCCCTTCTCGATCATTTTTTTGTTTTTTTTGACAGCGTACTATTAACCCCTTGACGTACGATTTAATTTCAAATAATTCGTCAAAAATTCGTGTTCTATTTAATTTTATTTGAATTTGTAATTCGTATTCTATTTAATTTTATTTGAATTTGTAATTCGTGTTCTATTTAATTTTATTTGAATTTGTAATTCGTATTCTATTTAATTTTATTTGAATTTGTAATTCGTGTTCTATTTAATTTTATTTGAATTTGTTCGTACAAGGAATAACCACGAAAAAAAATAGATTTGTTTTATTAAAAATGTGCTGATTTTAATGTATAGGTAAGACTTGATGACAAGTGAGTACCCTTAGAATGGTGAAACACGACGTCAAGTACTTGTAACGAGTTAGACTCGTCATTGTACGCCAAGGGGTTAATTAAGACCCTCTTCGACCATTTCTTTTTTTTTTTGACAGCGAATTGCACAACTTTTTTATATCGAAATATTTCACGCGTGTTTATCTATATTTATGGAACGAGTATACATGTTTGTTTGCAAGTGAAATAGTACTGATCACGTGTGTTCTAGAACGTGGTAAATAGCAACGTTGTGGCTTCCATTCTACGTGTTGCAAACTAAAAAAATATGAAAGAAACGAGGAGTTTGGACATTAAATTCTGCATATATATTTTTCGGATTGTATTCTTCGGGAGACGATAACAATAAATCGATTTTTTCTAAGGTTTGCAGTAGAATAAATAATTCTTTAGAATAGCCACGAAAGACAAAGAGTCGTCGTTACTTGCAGTTCTGTAGTTTTTTGCAAATATCTCGTAAATCGTTGATTTTAGACAAAAAATAATTACACAAAATTTAACAAACATAAAATTCTCTATAAAAATGATTCAATTTGTATTATCAACAACGTTAATAGTTTAGACGCAAATTTAGCGTAAATACACTAATAGAAAGTCCATTTATTATCGAGTTGTACAATCATTATTTGCCATTTTTTAATATAGTCGATGTGTATGTCACTTTTTGAGAAGATCTTGGGCTTCAAATTCATCGATATTTTAATTGCATAAAAAATGTGTCAAGCTGTTAGGACCTTAATTTAAAGTCCATGGAAACGAATAGCGATAATTATTTAATTTCGTGAAATATATTTACTAATTTTACTATTTGAATCGATCAAAAAAGCCGGCAAATAATTATGCTACTGTCCAGTATATCGACGAGATTAACCTTCGATGTATTTTCTTTCGATGACAAATTGCGTGATAGTTGACTTATTAACGAATAGCGGTAACTATTTAATTTCGTGAGATATATTATATTTACTAATAAAATTTACTATTCGAATCGAACGAAAAAGTCGATAAATAATTATGGTCCAGTATATCGACGAGATTAACTTTCGATATATTATCTTTGGGTGGCAAAATGCGTGGCGGTTGGTTTATTATCGCATGGGCGAGACGAGGTCGAACGATGAAGCGAGATTATTTTCACAGGTTTCTAAACACCGATGGCTGTCGATTTTCGTTTACGCCCGCCGCGGGATACCGGAGATCAGATCGCAATGCTCTTTTCGACCGACCGATTGGCACTGGCTGACGTGCACGAGGCGTCGCGACGCATGCCAGGACCGTGAACACCTGGGGGTTCTTGATGCAGCGCGGGGAGGCTACGGAGGCGACGGGCCTGTTGCGCGAATATTTTTGGAATTTCTTTCGCTCGTTGCCAGAGGGGTGGAATGATCGAGGGAGTTCGTGGAACGGTTTATAACAGTGCTAGAAATAATTAGAGGATGGGCTGGTGCTATGACTTCATCGCTTGATAGATTATTTAACGCGTTCGGTAAACACGCATCGCGAATAGAGCGTCGGTATCTAGGCAAATCTACGTCTTTTATTATTTTATACTCTTGCAATTCAGAATTCTAAAATGATTAAGAAATTAATCATATTATTCAGAAGATTAAGCGTGAAGTAGATGTAACTATAGATTGTTTGATAATAAGTGAGCATTGACGAGTATCCTTGCTATGAAATTAAAAATCTGTGTGTTTGTGATTCCTTTTTATCTCCTAGTGTTGCTGTTCAATCCGGATGAACTTTTGCTTGGTTGTTCTTTATGTTCCGACAGAAAGTATGGACTAATTTATTTGCAGAAATATCTTTTATTATTATATATTCTTGCAATTCAAAATTCTAACAAAATTAAGAAAATAAACATATTATTCAGAAGATTAAGCGTAAAGTAGATGTAACTATAGATTGTTTGATAATAAGTGAACATCGACGAGTATCCTTGCTATGAAATTAAAAATCTGTGTGTTTGTGATCCCTCTATATCTCCTAGTGTTGCTGTTCAAACCGGATGAACTTTTGCTTGGTTGTTCTTTATGTTCCGACAGAAAGTATGGGCTAATTTATTTGCAGAAATATCTTTTGAATAATATTTTATTATTTTAGATTCTTGCAATTCAGAATTCTAAGAAAATTAAGAAATTAATCATATTATTCAGAAGATTAGACGTAAAGTAGATGTAACTATAGATTGTTTGATAATAAGTGAACATCGACGAGTATCCTTGCTATGAAATTAAAAATGTGTTTGTGATTCCTCTATATCTCCTAGTGTTGCTGTTCAATCCGGGTGAATTTTTGTTTGGTTGTTCTTTATGTTCCAACAGAAAGTATGGACTAATTTATTTGCAGAAATATCTTTTATTATTTTATATTCTTGCAATTCAAAATTCTAAGAAAATTAAGAAATTAATCATATTATTCAGAAGGTTAGACATAAAGTAGATGTAACTATAGATTGTTTGATAATAAGTGAGCATTGACGAGTATCCTTGCTATGAAATTAAAAATCTGTGTGTTTGTGATTACTTTTTATCTCCTAGTGTTGCTGTTCAATCCGGATGAACTTTTGCTTGGTTGTTCTTTATGTTCCGACAGAAAGTATGGACTAATTTATTTGCAGAAATATCTTTTGAATAATATTTTATTATTTTAGATTCTTGCAATTCAGAATTCTAAGAAAATTAAGAAATTAATCATATTATTCAGAAGATTAGACGTAAAGTAGATGTAACTATAGATTGTTTGATAATAAGTGAACATCGACGAGTATCCTTGCTATGAAATTAAAAATGTGTTTGTGATTCCTCTATATCTCCTAGTGTTGCTGTTCAATCCGGATGAACTTTTGCTTGGTTGTTCTTTATGTTCCAACAGAAAGTATGGACTAATTTATTTGCAGAAATATCTTTTATTATTTTATATTCTTGCAATTCAAAATTCTAAGAAAATTAAGAAATTAATCATATTATTCAGAAGATTAGACATAAAGTAGATGTAACTATAGATTGTTTGATAATAAGTGAGCATTGACGAGTATCCTTGCTATGAAATTAAAAATCTGTGTGTTTGTGATTACTTTTTATCTCCTAGTGTTGCTGTTCAATCCGGATGAACTTTTGCTTGGTTGTTCTTTATGTTACAACAGAAAGTATGGGCTAATTTATTTGCAGAAATATCTTTTGAATAATATTTTATTATTTTAGATTCTTGCAATTCAGAATTCTAAGAAAATTAAGAAATTAATCATATTATTCAGAAGATTAGACGTAAAGTAGATGTAACTATAGATTGTTTGATAATAAGTGAACATCGACGAGTATCCTTGCTATGAAATTAAAAATGTGTTTGTAATTCCTCTATATCTTCAAGTGTTGCTGTTCAATCCGGATGAACTTTTGTTTGGTTGTTCTTTATGTTCCGACAGAAAGTATGGACTAATTTATTTGCAGAAATATTAGCCATAATTGTTATTATATCACGTAATATGAGACAATTTTAAATTATATTAAATTTTTCTAGCGAAATAAATTCTAGATAATTTTGTATATCTACACTACAGATTCACGTTCAAAATCTGTATGATTGTGATTTCTTTATGATTCTTACTATTTTTCTCTAATCAAGATACAATATTATGTAGTTGCTCGTTATGTCATGACTAGACTGCAGATGTTTATGCATTTATGGGAAATTTTAATCCTCAAAAAACTACAGAATGCATTTAATATGCAAAAATATAAGAAATTCTTAAAATAAGATACGAATTATTATATTTAGGGGTTGAGACAGCCCCCTGCGAAGCTTCCGTTTCATTAATTCTATTAATAAAAATGTGAATTTGCATAAAGATCCGCAGTCTAGTCATGACGAATAAACATAAGCTACTTAATTCCCAGATTATAAGGCTTTAAACGAGTGAAAAGCTTTGAAAAATTTGCCAAATCTTATCCTAATATTTCTCTAAATCATTCATTCGACTATTTTTATACGATTCTTCATTCCCATTTTTTAGAACATATCCTGGAAAATCCTGTACACTCATATTGTAGCAATTATTATACTCAAATCGCGATTCTGATTTATGATAACGGCGCAACGCTACTGGGGCCGTAAATTTGTGAAGTGTCACAATTAATTCACTCTCTCTCTCAAACACCAAGAGAGACAATACATACAATACAATCGAGTAATTTTGCGTGTATCAAACATATACATTGGATATTTATTTCGAGCCAATTTTTCCCCTTTATCGTCGCCCAAACTGTAATTTCTTACAAAAAAACTGGCAATGACCTTGACATCTTGTGAGCCAGAAACGACAAAAAGAATTTTTGCTGTCGAGAGCCACGAATTCGCCTTTTGTTTCACGATCGTCGTCGAGCGCCATTACCGCGCCGCGATCACGAATGGTCACGAAAGGTTCGTCGTGAAAAATGGCACCGCGTTGCGTCGAGATTTACGACGACACACCGTCACCGTAATTCAGAACGTCGCGCTGCGCCCGCGACTCGAAATGAAAAACCCTCGATGTCTGTTCGTCCCGACGATCTCGCCAAAAATCACGCCCGCAGAATTTTTGGCAGCCTCTCTAGCGCGCTTGGATCTTTGTTCGCGGGTCACCGAGCATCGCGACGACGAGAGAAAACGCCGAAAGAAATCGGTCGTCGTTCCCTCTGTCGCGATCCTTGCACTTCGGGGAATCCGACCGACCGGCCGCCAAGTTGGCACGACTTTCTCTCGCGATAAAATATGACGAACGATGAAACTGGATTCATTTGTCTGCGTCTAAACGGGAACCTGGTTGAACATGCTGCTGGTTAACCAATATTTGATGTATTCGACCGTTGACCTTTCGTTGCACGAGTTCTGCGACGAGTTTCCGGTCGCTGATTGCGATTTCGGAGTTGAAAATAGCAAATTCGAAAAGATGGATTCGATATGATAGATAGCTGCCTTTGACATATCTGATTAATCTACGATTGTCATTTTAGAAAGAAATGATGCAGAATTTGATTTTGCAGAGAATCATATGCAGTAATAATGACTGTAGCTGTACCATCATGATGTTAATTTTAATTTTTCTGTATCGATTCTGAAGATTGTGTTAGGAATGTGTCTGTACATACAGTAAGTCACGAAAGTATGTAAACATAAGCATTTTTTATATTGAATTAGATTTTTGCAAGATGTGAAATTAGATTCAAGGCAATGGTTTCAATTGTTTTCAATATACAGTGTATTTTGAACATACGCATGACATTTCAGTAGAATATGTCTGGTCACACAGTATATTTTCGGTAAAGAATTTTTTTCTCCAAAGTACGTAGGATTTCGGAGATATGTGTATTCACCAAAAATGATTGTAATTGACCCTTGCAACTGAAAATAATTTTTCCAGAACGATTTGAAATTTTTTTTTTCACCGGAAAACTTAGGCACTGTCGATTTTTCTTAAAAGCTCGTTTTTTATTTTTAATAAATTTGTTTGACACTGTACGGAAATATTGTCTAATACTTTTTTGTAGCTACCCATGAGCACTACTTCAGAAAAAAATTTCATTGAAATATATTCACTATTGCAGAAGTTATGGACGTTTGAAAATTGGACCATTTTTATGGGGTTTTTCTCATTTTGCGGGCTCAAGGAACAACTTTTCAAATATTTTTGGAATGTCTACATATTTGTCACTAAAATACGCGTCGTTAGCCTTTTTAAACATTAAAATCCATCAATCCGTTCAGGAGTTATGACATTTTAAAGATATGAATGTTATTTCAAGGAACCATTTCAGGCCTCACATTAGATTCACGGTAAGGAATTTTTTTCTCGAAAATGGTTAGGATTTCGGTGATATATCTATTGACCAAAAATGATTGTGATTGACCCTCGCATCCGAAAATATTTTTTTTAGAACGATTTGAAATTTTTTTTTTCGACGAAAAGTTTCAGTAGAATATTCCTGGTCAGACATTATACTTTCAGTAATGAATTTTTTTGTCGAAACTGGGTATGATTTCGGAGATGTGTCTATTGACCAAGAATGATTGTAATTGACCCTCACATCCGAAAATATTTTTTTAGAACTATTTGAAATTTTTTTTTGGAAGTAGAATATTCCTGATCAGACATTATATTCTTTAAATAGAACATTAAATAATTTTTGTTGATTTAGTTATGGAAGTACCTTTGTATAGTATAAATAAATATTAGTTTCACTTTATGAAAATAAATATTTGTTTTTGTAAACATACTTTTTTGGTGATACTGTTTACTTACTTTTGTGACGTACTGTATTTTACAATTTTTTGGGGACAATACAGTGAATATTAAATGGTCGTATCTATCATATCATTTTTTATTTCTAAACAAGATTATTTAATAGAATAAATACTGAATAGATAAACACTGATAATGAGATTAATAGATAATGAGACACTAATAATTATTATAAATAATTTGGCACCCATACAATTCTTTCAAAGGTACACATAATCAGAACATAAAATTAAGAGGCCATATAAATAAGTACCCCAAATTATACCCCTGGAACCATTCAATTTTTGTATAAACAATCTTCTTGCACAGTGAGCAATT